AATTGATAAATGTCTATTTAGACTAAATATTTGGTTTAGCTTACTTCGGGGATAATAAAAGGCACATCCACATTTAATTCCATCTTTTGACCCATCTGTAAAGACAACGTCGCTATTTCCAAGTTCGTTGAAGATTGACCAAAATAATCTTTCGTTAAAAAGAGTGTTTTCAGTATATGGTGGATAAATTATATTGGCATTTATCAAGTAACTCCCAAATTCAAAAGCGAAGCAATCGCTTGTTTGTATATCATCAAATAGTAAAAAATCACTTGTACAGGCTTGTGTTAAAGGCGGAGTCTTCTTTTTCTGCCAAAATTTATTTGTTAGGACTTGTATGTTTAAGTTAAATATATTCTTTATTATACCAGAATATCCATTACCCTTTAACCTAAGTACATATTTGCTCGATAAAAACTTTCTACGTATCATGAGAGGTGGTTCGTTTGCTTCAATCTGAAGCGCCTTTATGGGAGTTGAGATCATGGCACCCACACATATGCGAAGTGCTTTATTTTGTACTATGTCAAGCCGTTTTAATTGACTTTTACGTGCACTCCCATACAAAATAGCACCATAATCTATTACTGATCTTATATAGTTTCTATAGAATAATAATGCCGATGATTTATCCGCCCCCCAGTAAACTCGCTAGTCACAGCCCTCAAGATGTTTAACCCTTTCTCACATTTAGCTGCTATACTATTAATGTGCTCCGACCCTGTGAGTTTGTGGTCTATTACCAAACCTAAGTACTTCACCGCTCTGCACACAGGAAATGTACAGTTCGCTAATTGTAAATTATTTGTAGGACAATTTCTATGTCTTGAAAAAAATACGATATTTGACTTTTCCGGGGACATTTCAAAACCGTAATCAGTCATCCATTGTTGAGTAGCCCTTACAATTCCGGTCATGTTTGTCAACAATGTATCTAGTTTTTTTTCCGACGCAAATAAACAGAAATCGTCTGCATATTGTATGACACTTCCATATGGTTTAATACGATCGTGTAGAGTACGCGTATATACATTAAATAATAGGGGACTCAAAATGGATCCCTGTGGCAATCCAACAGATGCCACCCTCGGGCCAATTTTCGCTCCATTCCTATCCCTAACGTAGATCTTTCTTTGATTGAATAGTTGAACAACGTTCGATGCCATTTTTTTGGGTACCTTTAAAACAGATATTTCCCTGTGTAAAATTCCAAGATCAACGCAATTGTATGCATTTTTAACGTCCAAAAAAATACACCCCATGTACTTGTTGTCGCTAAAAGCTTGTTGTATCTCCAACACTAGATCTGATAAGGCGTCCATAGTGCTCCTATTTTTCCGAAATCCGTACTGCCTGTCTGGAAATATTTTTTTAGACTCAACCCACCATTCTAATCTATTTTGAATAAGTTTTTCATAAGTTTTGGTGATGCAAGACAATAGGGATATTGGCCTATATGAGGTTGCCAATTGAGGATCTTTGTTGGGTTTTAAAATGGGGGTTACTAATATACTTTTTAAATCCTCTATTACTACACCCTCCGTCCACATATGGTTAAATATAGACAACATCATGTATTGAGTTTTTAGGGGCAAATTGTACAAATGTGAATACATAATATCATCAATGCCAGGAGCTGTATTATGTGTATCCTTTAGAACTTTAGAAAGTTCTATATTAGAGAATGGTTTTAGAAGGAAATGATAGGCATTTCCATTATTATTATTATTTTGATTCGTTATTTCATTTCTATTTTCGACATAAGAGGGAACCAATTCGTCCAGAAAATCGTACAACCATGTATCATTTGTAAAGGATGAGCATTTAGATAGACCACAAAATCTTCTTACTTTATTCCATACCTCTTTTATTGGAGTATTTCTATTCAAGGAAGAGCAAGCCATCTGCCACCCCTGCTTTTTCTTATATTTGAGTAGTCTTTTAGATTGTGCCGCTATATTTAGGTAATTATTTAAAGTGTCAATATTTTTATTTTTTCTAAATTCCTTTAAAGCTTTTGTTCTGCGTTTAATCACATTAGTACATTCCTCATCCCACCAGGGAGGGGAGGGATGGCGTTTAGGCATAAAGGGTTTCGTAACTTTAAATACCTCATCAGAAACATTATGAATCATAGTGACCAATTTTTTAAACTTTTCAGAGGGGGTTGATTCTACAGTCTCATTTGTTAATGAACCTATTTTTTTAGAATAACTTCCAAATTTATCAGACTCAATTCTCCATCTTCGCCTAGGGGTTACCATAAACAAACTCTCCCCAAAATACTTGTACGTCATTATAATTGGGTAGTGATCTGACGTGTAGGCGTCTTCGAGAACTTCCCATTCAAGGCTTCTAGCAACATCATCTGTTGCAAAAGAAATATCTACCACCGAAGTGGATGCATCTATACGTGTAATATGATTTATCTTGTTTTCCATGTGTAGGTATTTATAATGATGTCACCTTTATTTGTTTAACGGCATTTGACTCAATTTCTGATTTTTATTGCACAACTTGGGATGTATGATTCGTGTATTTCTTGTGCATTTTGTTGTCGTAGATGATTTATGTCTCGTATTGTGTGTTATGCCAGGATTGTTTGCCTAACGAACGTTTTTTCTGGCAATTTTTGTGTGCGTAATATATTTAAATTTTCTTGTTTTGTTCTTCTTTGTCTTACGCACAAAAATGTAGACTTAAGTGATAACAGCGCACCTTTTAGAAGGTGAAATCTGGCGGCACGCACAGTGTCGAAAAAGCACAACGCTTGTTACGTTACGGCCATCTTGGTTTGAACTGTCGTCGAGCGAGAGCATCGTGTTGTTTAAGTTTGTTGTTTCTTGTGTTATTTAATGCAGGTAGTGATATTTGCATTTATTTATAGATTATTGTGTTTCGTATAGAACCTTTTGTGTTGTATTTATGTTTTTGAAAGTGACATGATTTAACCTCAATGTTAGATCAGGGGTATGAAAACTACCGTTCACTTTTACTGTTTGAAATCGTTATCTTTTTTGGTGTGTTTGTTCAATTAATTGTAATGTTTTGATTACAATCTTGATCTGAAGTTTAATTTATATTTTATTGGTAAGTCGGTTTATAAAGATGTGGAAATTATTGAATTGCTTGATGATGTAGGTACTGACGTTGTTTGTACGTACACTAGCACTTTTATTTATCTTGGCCGTGAAGATAGTCACAGGGACGGTAAGGCGGCCAACCGTCCCGGATTCAGCGGGACAGTCCCGTAATGGCAAAGGCAATCCCGCATTCAAAAAATTTACAAATATGTCCCGAAATTAAACCAATGCGTCCCGCGAGTCCCGCTTTTCGGTTTTGTAGTAGTGTTACCCAAATTCATGTAAACGAGACAACGCCAACGAGCAAAGCGATTACTTGTAATGAATTTCATTCATTATTACTCACTAATGCCAATGTTCTGAAAAAAAGTATTCATTTAAAATATTAGAGATAATCGAGGAGATAATTAAATTAACGTTTTGTTTTTTAATACCTATAGCACTACATAATACTATGTATGCATGTCTCTTGTAAGTTTGTTTTTTAATAATGAAAATATTTTTTAACTTTTTAATTTGAAAATGGGTAAGCAAGTTGGGGGGGGGGGGGCCCAGGGGGGGCCCGATTTTTTAACATGGAAAGTTGGTCACCTTAAGGGACGGAAAATACTGTAATCAAAATTGTTACGAATCAAAGATTGTAATTGAAATGAATTTTCCATTCTGGTTTTAACAATAGGTTTTATTGCACCAAAGATGAGTCACCTTGACAGATAACGAGCACCAAAATTTAATCAGTTATTACAGTACCCTCCACCATTGTCTACCTATTACTTAAAACAGAAATGGAAAATTCGAAACAGTTTGCAAGTTATCATGTAAGTACACAGATGAGCAGAGTTCAAAAACATGAATGGTGCATGTTGATAAAGGGAAAGAAAAACAGTGGTCTTCCGCCATACTACCGTTTTAATATTGTAACGGAAATGCTCCAGAATTCTCTGGAATTTTCTACGCGCGCGATAGTGGAATTTGTTGGAACATTCGAGAATGTATTGGACTTACATTGCTTGCGTGTATAAATGGTTGCGGACCGAACATCGGGGCAGTCTACTATCGAACGAGATCGAGCACGGAAATATAAATTGCGAAGTGTGTGTGATATAATAATCGATATAAATTGTACGGTTTTTATAGTGTTTTAGTTTTGTTTAATAAATATTGATATAAATCGAACCCGAATTTATAAATAACGTTACAATATAAATTGAAGATTGAAAGAGGAAAAGCGTGGTGTGGGTAGACTAGCTGCAGAATGGAAAATGATAAGTTAAAAGTATTAGATATGGCAGTATAGATGGGATAGGAAGAAATGAAACTAAAGATACAGAAGGTAGTGGCCGAGATAGCACGTAAGAAAGTAAACAGATAAAGTAAAAAGGACCTATAACACCACAAATGGAGGAAATATAAGCAACCGAATACCGAGAAAGGAAAGAATAAGAGGCAAACGATGACCTGAGAATGGTACATAACTAATAAAGCCAGAGATAATAGCTAAAATGTGTGTGAAGAGATAGAAGAGCTTGAAAAGTTAGGGAGACATGATATTGTGTACAGTCCGAGGGTGCAGAAAAGAGTTAAATGGGGGCGTAGTCTTAAAAGACGAAGGTATGTTGCTATGAAGATGAAAGAAATAGATAAATATCTTTTCAAAGTCAATGAGAAGCCAGCAGGAATTGAAGTTTCATAAGAAAGTGATTTGGATGTCAGCACATTTTAATCTGAAGCATGATATAAATAAAATATATTTATTGTATTATGGGGTACCCATTTTAGTGATTACGTAAAAATATCAGTCTCCATATTTCGTTGTATAAAAAAACCACCACAAACCACAGCATCCTTAGGGATAATTAATGACTAAGTAGTGTATACCTATATCAAGCATATTGATAAATAAATTAAATACAACACAATTTTAATAAAACTGTATTTAATTTGATATAAATTTTTAATACGGCATGATTTTCAACACCACTGAAAATAAGGCAAAAGTCTGCTAATTCCACAGCTGAAATCAACGATACTCATTCGAACACACATTACAGCAGACAGTAGCGTAATTTTGAGTATTTACAATGTAACAGCAAGTACTCCATTTCATAAAATTTACAGTGGCAAAACAGCAAGAGTAAACAATACAATTATAATACCTAATAAATAATTTTAAAAAATGGTTTTTAATGATAATCAACATAAAGAGTGTGCAAAATAGGCTGGCGAGCATGCACAATTTACGCAAATACAGCTAAATATTAATATTACTACAATAATATCAATATTCATCTTCTTCCACTGCACCCTCCACTTCGTCAGGCGGAGCAAATCCTTCCTAATGTGCAAGTAAGTTTTGATTACGACATTTTCAGATTATACAAAACATACCTCCGTTGCATATAAAACATCCAGAATTTTTTGTATTAAAGGATGTTGTTCGTCGCTCTCCTGGCACATGACTTCAATATCTCTAAGTTTTCCAAAATAAAAATCTCTTTCTTTTTCTAATCCATCAATACTGATCTGTAGAACAAATTATAATATTTTGAGTATTGAACATATAGCATACCTTCAGATCCATAATTTGATTTGCCATCTCTTCGACTTTTACCGCATCACCTCGATTTGTCATACCTAAACCGCTATTTGGCTTTGTTGTTGGTTTAACGGCATTAACTTTAGGCACTATAAGTTATAATATTAAAAAGTGTCACGGTAAATGGCAACTTCTATGTGCAGCGGATGGTTTATAAAGCCATGCTGAGATGCACTTTTTATTATCAAATGCAACTTTTGTTGGTTGATATTGAAACAAAAAGGCTCTGACATTTGAGGTAACCACTGTATAAAATAAAAATAAACATACTAGCATTATTACCGGGTTTTATTTTTGCAGGAGCTGTAAGTGCGGGTTTACGTGCAAGTCCTGAAATGGCTTTCGCTCCTCCACTGACCGAACCTAAAGTTTCTCCACTACGCATGCTTAAAGGATCATAAGCTGCACCTTGGTAGTTAGCATCAAAGAATTTCTTGAACCATTGGAGAAACTCGAAATTATCTTGAAACCGACCCTTCACCAACCGGTCAATCGGCACTATCTACCAATGCAAGCAAACAATCAAAGGCATGCAGAAAAAAATGTGACGTTTATAAACGGTATAAAAATAAAAAAGTGAAAGCGAGAGACGCGTGCACTGTGCAGCTAAAGTTGTGATCGAGATGCACGGTGCATGCGTTACCCTGTCTTTGCTTAGGCGGTGGCGGGTGCTGTTGGGGAACCAAGCCTCCGTGGTCTTGAGAGCCCGAACCCAAGCCTATACCACCGCGCGCCTCTAAACCGTCATATTCTCTGCCGTCATAGTTGGCGTCAAAAAACTTCTTAAACCATTGTAAAAATTCAAAGTTATCTTGAAAACGTCCTTTAATTAATTTGTCTACGGGAATTACCTACAACATTTTTGCACACGCGACATTCCTACATAAACTCAATTAACAATTACGACGTATATGCAGTAAGTCTTAAGCTATATGGGATTTTATTTTTAGAAGTCAGTCAAAAAAACATAATTTTTTAATTCTTCTTTGCTGACGTTGCCGTTTATCGTTTTTGCAGATTAAAAATCATGGCAGATTACAAGCTATGCGATCTCAAATTTTTGTATTGCTCTGACTAGAACATTTACAAGAATTACTAACTCTGATATCTGTGTGTCAGTTTTTAAGACGTTACAGTATGTACCCAATTCAGGCCTAGTGTGAGGTGCGCCCTCTAGACTTTGTTCATGTATGAGGGGTGAGGCTGAATTTTATAAAAACAATTAAGGGGCCAAAAGGCGCTTCAAGACAAGTTTATTAAATACTCTTCAAGCGTATTCTTATAGGCTCTTCAGGTTTTCGAACTTTTGGAGAATCAGGTAAGGATCTCTAGTAAAGGCTCTTCAAGATTTGATATTACATATTCATTGGGGTTGTACCATGACAGTTCAACTTCAGTTCGGTAATTTAATACTCTGAACGAACAAATGGATTGACCGATATAGCTATGCCTGAAGGCTTGTACTGATAAAATATCGGCGTATCAACCTTTAATTTTATTTTTGGTCTTTATTTTTAAGTGGGCGGGGTTTCAGGCAAGGCTGCTCTAGCAACCCAACCCATTGTATTACTCCAGTCAATCTATCCCGTTTCCCTATAGAAACCCTCAAATAAAATTTCTGTCGAATAAATAACCGAGTTAAAGCTGATGCGCACGCCGCGCCGTCTCGATATAGGTGCGCGGTATGCTACTACATACTATAAATTTAAATGAACCAATGAGCGTCCAGTTACGTTTCGAGCGTGTCAATCAGCTGACGCTTTGACCTAATCAATCGTTTTTAATAAATTTAGAACATGAGCGGTCATTTTCGGAGATGCATTTTTTTATATGTTAATCAGCAGCATTTCTACTTCAACTCAGTTATTTTTTCATAGACATAAATGTTATTTATTTATAGATAAAGAGTTGGTTAAATGGACAAAACTGGTTCTAGAGTTATGCATAAATAAAATCAAAAAGCAAAATTTACCTCCTATTTTAAGTTTCCTAAATATGGCCAAAAGTAACATAGTTGACGTTTTGATTTTTGGCCTTAAAATCGTTATTTGGGGTGGTATTTAAAAACCAAACAGACTTTCTTAGGGGAACTTGTTCTGTTCTTTTTTTAACTATAATAAATTCTCAAATTGTTTAAAATGTCACTCAAAATATGTTTTTTTAATTTTGAATTTTTAAAATTTTTTTTAATAAACAGGATTTTTTTTCTCAATTAGATGACCTAAATTTTTAAAATGGCTCCCATATGAAAAGCAAAAGTTAGTGTTGATATAAAATAAAGTATTAATGTAGTAATGATGATAACATTTTCATCACCTAACTAAAGGAACAGAAAAAGTTCCCTAAAGAAAATCTGTTTGGTTTTTTACCTCCCCAAATAACGATTTTAAATCCAATTATCAAAAACGCCAATTATGTTATTTTTCGCTATAAGGTAACTAGAGATTATCTTGCTTTGTCGCCACCCCGTAATTATATGAGTGTATCTCAGAATGTATCGGTCCTTGGCGGGGATACATCGACCTATAGGCCGATATTAATATCTGTATCAAATAAAATGCACGCTAGAGCAGGTATGGCATACCCCCGGGGATTTTGCCTAGCAACAAACTTAAACACAGTTTTCTCTATTCCTTAGGGCCGGTTGCACAAAGACAGTTTAAACCTTTGCCATTATAGATAGCCATGTTGATTCAGCAAGATCTAGTTATCGGTCGATGTTTTGTTGAGATATGAATGAACATTTTGATTTTGAAATTTTTCTTGTAAATTTATGTAAAAGTGTGTGTGACAGCCATTTTTATTTTATTTTTATTTCATAAAAATCCAATATAGCGCCCATAAGAAAATAGTAGCCTGTAGTTTTCACATCTAGCGTGGTATGGAAAATCTGATAACAGATTCTCCAAAAAAAATTACTCATAGAAGGTGCCAATGGCAACTGTCCATTTTTGACCGTTTAAGCTAGGGAAAGTGAAATCGAAATTTGACATTTTCATTTATTAAGCTTTTTTTTTAATTTTCAAAACGTAACTTTGGTTTCTTTATCTTCATGTACAAGCGTACTAATTATATTTCGTAGAGATTGAAATTTATTCCGCGCCCACTAAAGTCACTAGATATAGAAAGTACCGCAATCATCCGCCATTTTTGGGCAAATTTGCTGCCAACTTAAAAAAATTGACAAATAAAATCTGAATAGCTGTAATTTTTTATAACCTAACTTCATACTACTGTCATGTTTTATAAAAATATATACAGATATCTCCAAACAGGTGGAACAATCCCTAGCATTAAAGTTACTAGAATCTGGTAACTTCCGCCATTTTTGGGCAAAAATCATGCGTTCTCTCTCTAACACACGAGCCCAATGGATTGCGGTACTTTCTATATTTAGTGACTTTACGCGCCCACGTTAGGGGTGCACCATCTAGGGGAGAAATTTTGGAAAAATGATTGCAAAATCAAAAAGAGCATACCCAAACACTTATGCAGATCCGTTTATTCCAGCCTCTTATATTTTATGGTTGTCAAGAAAAAAAAAATGGTAGCCAATGGGGCGGCTGGAACCTCACCAATCAATGTATTACGTTATTATTTTGTCCACAACTGTATTTAATCACACAATCACTGGATAACTTCTTAACGCGAGCTGTCAAACTAATTAATATTAAACGTGATCTAAAATTTCATTGGCCATCCTTCAATCAAAATTATGTTGTTTCCTATTTTCCAATCGTCTCTACAATTTCTTAGTTATCAGGACCTTTGGAGAGAACATTGGTACAAAATTTCAGCCAAATTAGTCTGCTCCTTACAAAGTTATGCATAATTCAATAAAATCCGATTTTATTATCAAATTTGCCATTTTCAAATCGCTTCCAAAAGCTTTTTCGTTTTTGAGACCCTTTAAGGCATAGATTCTCAACCTTTTCTGAAGCATTGCCCTCTTAAGGAGCAAACAAATAGCTCCCCCCCCCCCCCCCCCTAGTCGTTCAATCAGTCATAGTTACTTTTGATTGACTTTTCGGTACACTCAATTTCTTCAAAACAAAATATATTTAATTTTTACACCCTGTATAAACAATGGCAATGAACTGAACTTTTATTTGCCACCAAGCCTATTCAAATTTGTCCAATGAGGTTTCAAACTGATTCAAGACACCCCTCAAAATTTTCTTAACACAATACAATGCCTAGTGGTCACATTTCACAACAAGAACTAATTAATTACAATACAACATATTCTGACTATCCAGTGCCATAACGTGAAATTTGTGATACACAGTTGGACGGGTCAGTACTAGCATCCAGACGATCATTGTATGTTAATGTCACAAATTCAATAAATACTGTACGCCAAATGCAATGTCAGAATACCACCTTTGCACATTACCTGCTTCAGCACTAGCAAATCTAATCTAAAATGGGGAACATTCACCCATGATTCCAAATGACACATCAACACTTCTAAATCACAGCACAAGACTTACTGCAAACAGATAAATACAATAAAAATGAAAAACGTTACCTTATCGACACCCATTTTCTTAAACGCAGCTTGCAGTACTTTAAAGTTCTGAATGTATTCGTGTTCGAGATTCGTTTTAAATTTAACTTTCTTCAAAGGTACGGAGTTGGGGAACAGCATATCCATGAACTGGCAGTAAGCGGCTCCCGTACATAGTTCCTCGATCTTACCGAAGCTACTCTGCAGACAGTCGTTAACCCAGGCGAGCATATCGTGCCTCGAGAGATTGTCGGTCGTAACATTTGTATTGTAGACGTTGACTACGGCCGATACGGACATCTTTTAATACTTGAAGTGGTAGACAAACTGCAATGAAAATAAGAAAAGTATGAAACAGTTGGATGAATGAGGTTAAATTTCCGTTACATATCGGAATGTGTGCCGAAATACAATGCAATTAAAAGAAAACGAATCGACAACTTCGTACGTGGAAGGTTCGTTTTAAAATTATCCCCCGGGCAATTTTGACATTTTTGGGAAAGGTATTTGGATACCCCGTGAACGTCAAATTGAAAATGCGCGTAAACCTTTAGGGATTGGAGGTGCGCGATGAATTGCGTTTTCTTACTGATAAACGGAGCAATATTTACGTAATAATAATCTAGAAGTTTTTAGTTTATTATACGTACCAGAAAAGGAAATATACGCCAAATTAAGCCGGGAGTGGTTGATACTTCTCACCAGAATTTCAGAACTAAATACCTGAATCGCCACAACACCGAAACAAAATTTTCCTAGATTAAGCGATTTTGGGACGAATTTTAAAATCACAGCTCGTTTAATTAGAAATTAATCATGGAATAACCAACCAGTGATTCATATAGGTACGTGATGCAATACGTATTTGTAGATCAAATTACAAGTAAACAGTATTTATTTCTCATCGACCTAGGGCTAATTCTATTATTACAGACATCCACAGATATACGTATATCTGTGATACATCCTACAGGGCGTTTAATTAGGAGATTCAAATATAAACAGTTCATAACATTCAATTGTTTAAAGTAAATAACAAAATACCAAATAGCACACTCGAATTATTTTTCGTTTTGGCATATTCTACAGCCTGGGAGGAATGTAGAAATTTTGGTCAGTGCAGTGCAATGAATAAAGGCCAGTGCGCTTGGCATGGGCGTAGTTACGGTGGGCAAGATGGGGTGATTTCCGAGATGTATATGGCTTATATGAATTCAAACAAAAAAAATAAATATTTATATGTAAGTGAAGCGTGCGCTATCGGATCGGAGATAATATCTATATGCCTGTGCACCTATAGTCAACGAGAGCAAAGTTTCAACCGAATAGGTTCAAGCGTTTGGCAGGGGCAAAGAAGTGTGACCCCACGGGATCATTGGATTTGACCCATTTTCAATAGGCTTATTACTTGCGGCATATAGGTCAACTGTGCAAAGTTTGAACTGATTAGGTTCAAACGTTTGGCAGAGACAGAGAGGCGTGACTCCTAGGAGCCATGGGATTTGACCCATTTTCAATAGGCTCATTACTTGTGGTTTGAACAAAATCGGTTCAAGCGTTTGACAGTTATCGTGTTCACGGACAGACGGACACCATCGACTCCCCTACAAAGCTTGCATCGCTTTGCTCTGCCGCTTAATACTTAAACCTCTAAAGTGGGTCTAAAAAAGCGGCAGAGCATCTCGGTTTTACCCTACGGGATCATTGGATTTCACCCATTTTCAATAGGCTTGTAGCATGTGTGGTATGTAGGTCAACTGTGCAAAGTTTGAACCGAATCGGTCCATTCGTTTGGCAGTTATCGTATTCTCACGAACGGACAGACGGACACCATCGACTCCCCTATAAAGCTTACATTGCTTTGCTCTGCTATTTCAGAAACTGAACCCCATAAATTAAATATCTACATTTACAATTAAAACGTTATGGGAGCGAAGACGTACCGCCTCTCAAAATATACCGCCGGGGGCTACTAGTCCCAAGCCCCCTCCCCCCTAAATCCGACACTGTTATTTTACTTATTTCATGTGTGTATACGCTATAACGTCTCGTTCCTAGGATCTTTGTCCTAATGTCCGCGTCCCAATGTCTGCGTCCCTATCTGCGTCCCAATGTTTGCGTTCTAATGTCCGCGTCCCAATGCTCGCGTCCCCATGTCTGCGTCCTAATATCTGCGTCATAATGTCCACGTTCAAATGTCTGCGTCCTAATTTCCGCGTCCTAATATCTACGACCTATTTCCTTTGCGGTCTATTGTCTTGCGGCCCAGTGACGACCTCCTATTGTCTGCGTCCTAATTTCTGGCAGCCTAATGCCCGGTCACCCTTTTGGATAGATTCGATATTGATTTCAAGCAGACACGACCGCATTTCGCAAAGAAAAAGGTGCTGTTCTATCAGGAGTGGTATAGGATAATAATGCAAGGGTGCACACAATTTGTAGTCACAATGGCAAAATTCCTTAAATTGGGCTACGCGAACTGCTACCCCATCCAGCATATTCACCAGATTTATCTCCCGTTGACTATTTCCAAAACTAAAGAGGCTGTTTTGCTTGAATGCTTTGAAAAAATAGCTTAGGTTTACAATATGGCATCCCTCTGTTTTCTCAATCGCTTGTTCTTCACTCGTAGTCGTATTATTAATTAACTGATATGTGGACTCTTTAATTACACGATTTTGGCATCCAAACGCTATCTCCTAAAGTATTCGTCTGATTTTGATGGAATTTGAGAAATGATTTGGAATTGAGGTCACTCCTCAGCTATATCACCGGTGCTGTAACTAATGCTGTAGTTGCCCATCTTTAAACTCTTTGAAGTTATGTATTCTACAGGAACAGGCCAAAATCGATAAGAACATGTTTTGGACAATTCATTTTTCCGACCCAAAATATAGGGAAGTGTATAGCCTTTGCATTTCACCGAAAATCGACTCCCCCAAAAATGTTCGGGAAAACACCTTTCCGATCAATTTCGCTTCGTACATTCAAAAACGTCTCGTATTTTGTCAATTGGACCTCTGAATCAAGAGTTATAGGCAAAAAAACAATTTCGAAAAAAATTCAAGGAGCTGTAAACTTTTGATCTAGTAGCCCAATCTTCAATGTGATAAATTACTAAAACTCTCGCCAGGAAAGATTGCCGGTCACAGCACACCTTGTGTCAATTTACAATCTATGTTTTTTTAAAGATGCGAACGAATTCCGGAATTGGATCGCACCAATGTTGAACGAAAATACTTTTCGCTCAACATTGACACGATCCTATCCCGGAAGTCGCTCACATCTTTAGAAAAACACAGGTTGTAGACCGGGATCAGGTCTTCTGTGACCGGCAATCTTTACTGGCGAGAGGTTTACAAGGTTATACATTTATTGTAGGGTTTCGTAATAATGTAATGTTTACTGGCTACTATATTTGCTTAGTCAATTAAAATTGGAAATTTATGAAACTTACAAATTCGTATTTTCCCAAATTGAGCCTGAAGCTCAAAATGTAAGTCATGAGCTGTTTGTGTAGTACCAAATTTCACTAAGACTAAGAATTATTCTTTACGGAGTTATCAAATGTTCGCCATTTCTTTAAGAGCTATTATCAATGGTTTCATTTGGTGTATAACCTATTTTCTAAAAAAAACCATTTCGAATTGGGACCGCAAAGAGTACCAGCTATGACCTGAAGGGGCAGACGGTCGATTTAAGGAGAGATTTTCCTGGAGCAAGTTCAGAAGGTTTCAAATGGTGGTTTTTGTAAAAACTGTGAAATATACATGAGTGTTTTGAATCTCTTGAGTAGTTTTTATGTCTTTTGAGATTTTCACAGAGTCCCAGAATCATCGAGTGCCTTATTCTGACTCGTGATATGCATTCGGTGATCGATTACCAGAGCATTTTCCAGAAATTTTGTACATAACAATGATTTCTGATGTACTTTTTGGTAGATAACATATGACGCGCTTATTTAGCATGGATGTGAATGTGATACAGACTGGCTGAAAATGTTCTCTGGAACAGTGAATATCTTCAAAACAATATCCTTTTAACAGAATCTTTTTATGGTATCCCAAATTATAAAAAGTTTACTACCAATTTACGCACTTTAAATTTGTGGTCAGTGACGTACTAGGTCAAGAGGGGTTATTTTTTTAAATGACAATCACTACTTTTCATTTCATATTCTTAAAGAGTGCAAAGTTATAATAAATATACATCCAAAACAGTGCACTCTTTAAGAATAATTACGCAATGAAAACTACTGGTTGCTATTAAAAAAAATATATTTTCGCTTTGACCATGCAGATGAAGGAGATTTTGGATACCATGAAACGCTTCTTTAGAAGAATATTTTTTTGAAAATCTATTCAATGTTCCAGGCAAAATTTCGCACTGTAGATACATTCATACGAACACAAAAGTATCAGTTTTATATATAACCAAAACTGCGCAACTCAAGATTTAAAATCAAATCTTTCCCACCCAAAACTATATAACTGAACCGCATGGCACGTGATCCTCTTGACAAAGCTACCTAACCTGAATAACAAAATGTTAGGACTCAATACGTTGTGTTAAAAAACCTCTATGATATAAGTATGTGCTGCTTGTCAGAATGAGGATCAATTAAAGGACAGAAGTAAAACGAGTACAGGTTTTAAAAATGGAAATTTAATCAAAATAAATCGTATTGTAAGAATAAATTTTGAGAATGGTAGTTCACCGAGTAAAAATACGCTGAAAAAAAGAACGCCAGCCATTAAATTAATACTAGACGTTATAACTAGCGTTATAAGAAAATTATAATTGTTTGTAACGACATTAAACAATAATTGTTACAATAAATTCATACAGTTTGGGTATTTGGTAGGCACTCCAAATATTCCAGTTGTCTTTATTAAGCGGTAGATCAAAGCGATGCAAGTTTTATAGGCGAGTCGATGGTGTCCGTCTGTCCGTGAACACGATAACTGTTAAACGCTTGGACCGATTTGGTTCAAACTTTGCACAGTTGACCTATATGCCACATGTAATAAGCCTATTGAAAATGGGTCAAATTCAATGACGCCGATCTAGCTTCTCTGTCCCTGCCAAACGCTTGAACTTATTCGGTTGAAACTGCACAGTAGACTTATATGCCACATGTAACAAGCCAATTGAAAATGGGTCAAATCCAATGACTTCGTGGGGTCACACCGAGGTGCTCCGCCGTTTTTGTAGACGCTCTTTATGGGTTTATTTGTTTAACAAGAACCAATCAAACATGGATTTACATGTCATACCAGATTATTATGCATTAAAACACTACGTCTCTAGACAGCATTGCGCATACAGAAAGGGTAAGTACATAATATAAAGAGCACAACGAGAACATGGCGTACGCTTTTAGCTGATTTCTGGGCAACTTCGACTAAGCGGGACCTTAACTTTTCACTGATCTCTCGAGTCAGCTCAACGCACTAGTTATAAATATCTGGAAGCCCGAGCTCTCTTATGTGTTTCTTGTCATCTTGAGTCATGACTAAGAGTAAGTGTTCTCGATGGACGAAAAAAGCGAAAAGAAACAACAAGTAGGTAAACACTTTACAGACGACTCCGAAAATTCTTTATCAAGCAATAGAATCTACAGCGATATTACAACTTTGAAATTAAAAAAAATGAGTTTTTTGGCCCACCCCAATTTATCGATGTTTTCTTTCTTGTTAGATGAATACGTAACATCCTGCATGCGATTTATCAGGGTCCGAAACGTCTAAAGTGCAAATTATTCCTGAGTGAATTTTGGGGTCCGAATTATCTGAGAGCAAAATTTCTGGGTAGGGGAACGAATTTCCCAGATGAAATTTTTCCGGAAACGAAGAGTCCATCGTGGCATCGAAACGAGTGGTTTTGCGACACTGCGGGTGAAGGTATCTGAGGATACCAGAGAACCATCATCGTCAGCTGAACTCCGAAGAAACTGCGATACATGGCGCCGGCATCAGAAAGGTAGGCCTACCTATTTTGTAAATCTGTCAACGGGTCGTGAGTGATTTCGTTCTGACATTGCGGCGGTAGACAGTTATCGTGTCTGTTTGTTATTAAGAGTATCCACAATTAAAGTGTACTTATTGTAGCGTTAGGTATATTAGTAGTAATATAAATGTTAGTCGATTTTTTAATCATTATTTATTAGCCCACTGGTCCTGAGAAAGAGGGATATCCGCTCGTGCAGAGCTAGTAATCCGGTGCATTACGGTAGGTACTTTACCACCCAAATAATTAGAGTCGGTTAAAAAAGCGACACACCAATTCAGGGTGTTGCAATTCCTATTTTAAAAATGGATTTCTGACTGTAATTTTTGTTCTAGTGATGATTAATTACTCGTACTTTACAACTTTTTAACGGCTTTTATACGGTAGGGTGCATGGAGTGAGAGAGTTACTGAATTTCTTGTTGTTATTTTTTCTATAACTCACTTCGAAACATTATTGACATTATTTTTCAAAGTATTTCCACTGGTCACTTGAAATTATAGACTGCTACACTATATATGGGTTTTCAAATGAAACGTAAAGGCTATTTTCATTTACTATTGAACATTTTCATTTATCATGGAAGTACGTCTTTCCTCGCATAATCTAAAAGTTTTACTTTTGGTTTTTCCTATCGACCACGTATTTCTTAAAAGATTTTAAAGTTTATAATTTGTTATGTTGGTAATTACATTTTTTGTACGCTGAATTTCTCCGCTAATTGAAAGCGATCCCATTGATGAAAAATTAAGTTTTAATTAAAGCTTCTTTACTAGAACGGGGGCTGTAAATTAACTTAATTTTTCATTTTCCTTTCTCGATGTTTCACTGTATATAAGTGGGAGTTAATTAAGATTCAGTTAGAATTAAAACAAAATTTAATTCAAAAGCGATTTGTTATTTAACACACAAATTAGACTACCTGTACAAATAAATACCACAATATAGTTAATATAAAACAATGTGAATTTTCCACTGGACAGATTAGTACCTACATTATTGCAATATCAACCGGAAGGAGACAGGATTGCGCACAAACATAGTGATTGCATGTATATAAATATTGACTAGCATTATATCATGATATGAATAGGCAATAAGGTACTTATTGTGCTGAAAGTGCTATGCGCCGCGTAATCCCAGCTCCCAAATGTACAATTAAGTCAGAGAATACAAAAAGCTCCAAATGTTGATAGTAGGTTGTCCATCTACATTACGGTCCTAAATTAATTTTCTCTGCTTAAATGATGCCACCATTAAAAATTGCCACTGCAAAGTTCTTCTCGATAATTAGTATCTTTGTCAATAGATCGAAGTAATCAGCCTTATCTGTACGCGTTTAGAAATCACACTTATGATAACATACAACGTCAATTAATTATGTCACGATCAAACTTCACATTCCCCTATGTTGTGACCGAGTGTTGAAGAACTGACAAGTTGCAAATGGTAATCAGTGTTTAGAACAAGGTCTGCCACGCAACCCTGAATTCCTGAAATGTATCTACCCCCCGTACCGGCTAACACTTGCGGCATGCCCCCGATGTATAATCCAGGTTTCGCCGTTCTAATCCGTGGCAATTCCACGAGTTGTGTTGTTAGTGCCGGACCGTTGTCGACCACTAATAAACCGATACCGCCGTCCCTAAAACAGATAGCGTAACATTGGGCTTCTCCGTTAAATAAATGCAAGAGTACTTCACCGCTCTGATGCGATGCCATAGGTTGTCGTGGATCACTGTCGAATTGTGAACTACCACTACCTCTTCAGTGCGATCTGAAAATCTCAGCACGAGATTACCGTGTTCCAATCCCAAAGCTAGAAACTCTGTGTATCCAGTGTCGAGCCATAGCAAAAGTCCGTTCATTGAGCTCACTTTGAATCTCATATTGATGTCCAGACGGGTAGTTGAAAAGGTGGATATTGTTTGCGGTTCGCTGAAGTGTAAATAGCTGTCGTGGCCTTTGAAAGAAGGTGGGCCGCGATTGCAAACTTGGTCCCTGTATCCCGGCTTACAGCGGCACGTGAAATAGTCTAATTGGGGTATACATTCTCCATCCTCACCACACGGTCTTGCGACGCACGGATGCGGACAATTATCTACGTTTGCACCACCTAAAGCTTCTGCAAGAATAGGAACGGTTCGTCCATTTATCGACACTTTTTGTATGCATCCAATGAAAGCGGAACGTACGCGTACATGTGGCGAAACAATTCCGAAATTTGGAGCTCCGCCTAGGAATAAATTTTGAGGTAGCGATAATTGCGTGAAAGCTCCAGGTGAAAGAACTTCGATAGGTAATTGATTGTCTACTTCTAGTATAGCTAAACGGCTAGTTCTCGACACTTTTATCTGATGCCAACCTCCAATATCTAACCTTTTCGGACTCCTTGCTATCGCCGACCCTGTACCTAAATCGAAAATAAATTCTACAAATCCTTCATTTAAATAAAGAGCTATAAAATCTCCAAATCCGTCTGCTCGATGTCCGTTGTATAAAATAAGCCCGTCTGCAGCTGTCGGTTTTAAGGTAATATCTAGGTCTAACCATGTTAAGGCCTCTTCTCCAAGTCCTCTATATCTCAAGTGGCTTGAGCCATTGAAGGAGGGTACTTGTAGATCTACACGTATTTCGCACAAGTCGCCTGAAAAGCCTAACGGACAAAGGCAAACGGCAGACGAGTCGCTTGTTAAACATTTTCCGCCGTGCTGGCAGGGAACATGACTACATCGATCAGCAGTACATTCCTCTGCAAAATGCAGCAGAATCAATAACGATTTCGAAATAACTTCAACGCACTTACCGATACCGTATCCTTTGGCGGCTTCACCGATAGGCTCAAGCGCAAATTTATACGTGTGATCATTTACTTCTAAATTTCGCAAACACCCCTTTAATCCTGACGATACGGGTAGTTTTTCAGAAAGTCCGGTAGTATTACCGGCTCCACCTATAAAGAGGGGCTCTCTAAAGGTAATTCTGGAGAAAAGACCCTTCGAGCGCCCTTGAACGTGCTTCCCGGCGTTTAATTGCAACCACGCATCCCATCTGTGCCTGTATAAAGTTATACGATTCCATTGATTTAGTAGCACGGTCTCCTTAGAGCGAACAACCCCAATTCCCGAACCACAATCGAATCTACGAAATTCCAAAATTTTAATTTTGGCAACACGCGTAGGTACCTGCTCACCTAAATTCCACAAACCCCTGATGAAGTAGAAGAGCCATGAAATCTCCGGCCATATCGTCCCTTTCGCCGGTAAGAAAGAAAATTCCATCGTAAGCTTCGGGTCGTAATTCAAGTGTAAGCTGCACGTGTTTGTAGGCACCTCTGAGTGCAGGAAATGCCAACCAGCTCGTGCCAGTAAATCGGGGGGAACGAATCTCCACATCTGCACAGATCGATTCATTTTAATTGTAGAAAGTTTGCGCAATAAAATTATTTCAAAGCACGAACAACTTCGTGTAATGAACCAATAAAGCACAACCGCAATATAAAACTCTCCTTTCAAATTATACAAACCTTTTATAATTAAACAAACACATGAAAGTTGCAGATAGCAAAGGTAGCAAACACATCAGAGGGAAACGTTTCTCTAACATCTACCTTATTTCCCCGAATGACCCTTAACGGTTTCCTTTCAATCTTTACGGGTGCCGTGAGTTTACGACATCTAACACGTTTGGTTTATTGAGCGATTGTTTCAAACTGTAATATAAAGAAATGTTTTCAAACCTTTTTCACAGCGCGATCCGCCTTTTCCTAATGGACATAGACAAATCGGCAAATTGTCCGAACTTCCTATGACGCATCCTCCTCCCGAACCACAGTCTAACGGACAGGGTCTTTCTGTTGCTAAAGGTAATGTCGATTTCGGTAATGTGGAGGTGTCAGTTAATTTCTGTTCTAATCTTGGACCCTGTGTGGTACTTTCGTTTGCGTTTTGTAAAAGTATAATTTCGCTACTTCCATTAATCGAGGTTAAGTGTGCGTCGAAAATGGCATCTTTTTGGTAAAGGACGTCGATCTCGTTTTCATCTGTACCTATTTGGTCCGGAGATAGAGTTGAATTAGACTCTAAAATTAGACAGTCTCAAATAGAAACCCAGATTCGTATATGTTAAATACCGTAACAACTGTATCCATCTTCTTGCAAGTCAAATCCCTCTTTGCAGTCACATTCGTACATGCCATCGTGTAACTCATAGCAAAGCTGTTGACAGGGACTTCCACGTCCACACTGACCTGTAACAAAACAACAAATTTTATTTCGCCATCAATTATGTTATCTATGAAGATAAGGTAGGAGCGGAAAGTAAGGGAAGCTGAGGGGATCTAACATAAATTACGAGAATAACCTTAAGACAGAATTAGAGAATTGATAGTGGTACGAAAGTAAATTGGATTACTTTTCCCAATTTCTATTTTTCGTATTAGCTGTTATCTTTACAAAGGTCCGTTCAAATAAATGAAAGGTATATCAAAATCGCTCGCCTCATTTCTTTCATTCTAGGGTTAGAAATTCGTCATATTGTTCCAAATGTTTACTGCCTTATTAGAAATAAAATCCTTTTCTAACGGAAAATAGGTGGAAGCCCTAAAATGCATCCCAATCTTTAATGAACAATAATTACTTTTAGTTCCAATCGCCGTTTCCTAGTTCCGCCGATGCTAAATCTTTATATTTTTACAAAATATGTAACGGATTACCCAATGCGAGTTAAAATGTATAACAACGAGCAAGATGCAACAAATGTAAGAGCAGCGGCTCCATTCCCTTCTGTAGAAGACCTTTCCCTGAGATGGTACAGCCCGAGCACTCGCTCTTGTGACAAAAGTAATGCGTGAGACCCCCGCGTGTACCTGAAAATTCCTCCACTGGAGTGCGCGATAGAACATCTCATCGATACCAAATGCGAGGAGGACCCTATCAGGATCCTACCTGCGGAAGTACGTCCTTATTGGTTTAAGTCGATTTTGGAATTTTTATTACGGTTGACAGGCCGCAGGACATTTCGACCATAATACCAGTCCGCGTTTCCGTGGCCAATCGGTGCCGAATACTGCCCTTTATGCGCTCGTTCTTAAGTAAGTAGATACGAAAATAAACCTCGCTCAAAGGATGGAGGGTCCACCTAAATAAGTGTCAGAAAATTCGGAACCATTGTCTACGTTCGAAAAATCTTAAAACATACGGTTTCAGGCACCCGGGAACTGAATTTCTCTAATAAATAGGAAAATTCAAAGAAACAGCGTTTTGTTTTTATTGCAGCGCTTTGTGCTTTTCGCTTGCGTTTTGTTTTGAGTGTTCGCGGCGACATTAAATCACGAACCAATTCTGCAAGACATCGCTAATACCTGAAATCCGAATCGGGGAGATTTATATGTTTATCATTTATTTTAATCGAATTATCAGTAAAGAAACTGAATTGCGCATATTAGTGAAACTTGCATTATTTGTTAGGATAACATTAATTATCTGATCAGTGAGGATATTTTTTTGATTTATTTAGATGAAGCTTTTACTTTTTTGGAGTAACCGTAAAATTTGTTTGGTTTCGTTGTTCTACCATAATATTTGAGGTGATTGTGAAGGTGTACGGACGTGCGTTTATCAAATAGTGCAGCGCTCTGATAACAACAAAATCGAAACTCAAGGTACAATTTAAACATTTACAGTAAAATTAGTGCTAATTTGCTTTAACTTTCACTACTCTCCCCAATCCCTCCCCAATCTACGGATTGGGGAAAACTATAAAAATTAAAGAATGAATTCAATCTCAAATATGACTCCCAGCCAAAGGAGTTCTAACACCCGTTCATTTTCCAATGTAATACAAAAAAATCCATCATTTCATTATCCTAAAAGAGATCAAAGTATTATCTTAAACGCAGTAGAGGGCATAAAAATTAAAGAATATGTATTGAGTATAGGTACCATTATAAAACCAGAGAATATTATAGCAGCGTCTAGGGTCCCTAATGATTGCATATGTATATTTCTTAAACACAAGGACAATGTAGATACATTGATAAATGAATACAAATCTATAAATATAAACGGTAATGAGATCGCCTTTAAAAGATCTGTAACACCAGCAAAAAAAATAATATTATCTAATGTATCTCCGACGATACCTAATGACGTAATAGAGAAATTATTTAAAGACGAACTCAAAATTAAGCTAAATTCTCCAATAAAATTTATAAAAGCAGGAATAGACAGATATGAATACTCGCATATCCTGAGCTTTCGTAGATTTGTTTATGCCGAAATAAATGACAGCACACAGATACCAAACTTTGCTACGATTTCTTTCGAAGATGAAGAGTATAGAATTTATCTACAAGTAGATTCAAAATGTTTTAAATGTGGAAACAACGGCCACATCGCCGCAACATGTACTCAAGATTTTCCACAATTGCCTAGTACACTCACGCGCCCATCAATCGATATTGAAGATGAAGCATCAAACTCCGGCGATGTCACTATCGCACCTGAAAACATCACAATATCACCAATAACAAATGATAATATTAATAATAAACGATCACTATCGACTACCAAAACAGACTCGTCACCAGAAATAACAGAATGTAATCAACAAGATTTTGCATTTGTAACTCCAACTCTCAGCACTAATCTACCAAAAACTAAAGAAAAGCAAAAAGCAAGACTGCCACCTAAAAAGAAAGTAAAAGCAACTACAAAAGATGAAGAAATGACCATAGAAGAAATGCTCCAGCCAATTCAGTCACATATAGAAGCAGAACCAGATAAATTTCCGTTTAAATTTTATGAATTCCAAAACTTTTATAAAGCTATTATCTCCTCCCAGCATCCGTACACAGATGCAAAAAGATTTTATAATGATACGACAAAACTTATTGCCATTATTGAAGACTTTCATCACCTTCCCCTCCACAGGAAAATTAAATACAGACTTACAAGAATAATTTCCAATATAACCAAAGGAAGAATAAGAGAAGAAAACCCAGACCAGCTGACTGAGGAATCATCATCACAAAGCTCTTGCTTTGATGATGGAGACTTTTACTAGCTGCCAGAAACAATTAAAACAATCCCAAGAAATACTAAAAAATTCACATCTATACCCAATAATCTAATCCTACAATGGAATGTTAACAGTTCCCGTTCAAGATTTGCTGAAATAAAACAACTAATACAACTATATCAGCCATCAATACTATGCCTCCAGGAGACCCGCACAACCACCACAACAAGAATTTATCTTAATAATTACGTAGAATTCAGATACGATCATCCTAATGGATTAAATGCTTCTGGAGGAGTAGCTATATATGTACACAATAGTATATATTCTAAACAGATACCAATTAACACCACTATTCAAAGTGTTAGTGTTGATGTGCACTTACCTGGGTTGAGTAAGGTCTCAATATGTAATCTATATATTCCACCGCAAACAAAATTTACTTCACTTGACATAGAGAGAATAGTCAATCAAATGAGCAAGCCTCTTATTTTATTAGGAGATTTCAATTGCCATAGTTCTTCATGGGGAAGTAGAAGCAACTGTAACCGCGGAAAACAAATCGAGAACCTATTGCTGAATAATTCAGACATATGTCTTTTGAATAATGGAAATCCAACCCATATGACGGCCGCCTCTGGTGCACTGTCGGCTATTGACCTAACAATTGCATCCACATCTATCTTTCTAAAATTGGAATGGAGCACGCACCATGATCTTTGCACTTCAGATCACTTCCCCATCACTATCAAATTTAATCTTCCGATAAATACTGAAGAGAAAAATGGTTATAACATCAATAAAGCAGACTGGTCCAAGTATACAAACAACACACAAACCATCAACGCAGAAACAAATTTGCTTTTAGAAGACAAATTAACTAGATTCTATAACACTATTCACACCGCTGCTGAACAATCCATTCCAAAACGCCAAACTCATACAAAAACGCAGGTTCCTTGGTGGACTCCCGAAATTAAATTGCTGATAGACGAACGTAAAAGTCACCTCAAAAAGTATCTAAAGTTTAGACGAATAGAAGATCTCGTACTATACAAAAAATTCCGAGCAAAATCAAGACTAGAGATTAAGAAACAGAAGAACGAAAGCTGGATGAAATTTATTAAAACAATCGACAACAACACTCACTCCGGAATCATTTGGAAAAACATTAAAAAAATAAAAAAATCTCAAACTGATCAAGAGTCAACAGAAGTCAAAGCAATTGAAAGAGATAACAACATAATAATTAACAAGCAAGAAATAAGTGAAGAATTCGCAAAATATTATCAATACACCAGTAATAATAACTTTTATTCAAAAAATTTCCAACAATATAAAATGCAACAAGAACAAATTCCTATTGACTTTGACTCACTGGGCAATGAAACCTATAACCTTCCAATTACTGAAAAAGAGCTTGAAGATGCAATACTCAAAACTAGGAACTCAGCTCCCGGTCCCGACAATGTTTATATGGAAATGGTAAAACACCTACATAAAACAGCTCTAGATGCTCTCCTTAAAATTTACAATGAAATATGGAATACCCAACAGATACCAAATAGCTGGAAACATGCAATTATAATTCCCATCCCAAAAAATAACAAAAATAACTTAAAAATGGTAAACTATCGCCCTATATCTCTGACAAATCATCTAGGAAAAATTCTTGAGAGAATAGTCCTGAAAAGATTCTCGTGGATTATTGAATCCAAATCTCTCCTAAGCGAACAACAAAATGGCTTTAGAAACAATCGATCCACTATGGATAACTTGATAATTCTGGATACAGATATTAAAAATGCGTGGACAATTAACCAAAACCTAAATGCAGTTTTTATAGACTTCGAAAAAGCTTTTGACACAATCTGGCGCAACAAGATCCTTCGTACACTACATGAATGGGGAATAAGAGGTAACCTACCAAAGTTTATTAGAAGCTTCTGAAAGATAGAACTTATTCAGTAAAGATAGGCAACAAATTATCTCAAACCCACAGCCAACTCAATGGGACTCCACAGGGTGCAGTGATAAGTGCAATGCTTTTTAACATTGCTATAAATGACATTGGGAACTGTTTTCGAACACCAATTAGCTACAGCCTTTTTGCTGATGATTTGGTCTTCTATATAAGAACTTCAAACCAAGAATATGCTGTGAAATCCCTACAAGAAACGATTAATCTCTTACAAGAATGGTGTGACCAGAATGGTCTTAAAATATCTA